AAAACCTCATTCTCTGGCCCTAGCCCCAGGGTGTCCACACAGTAGGTTGCAGTGGGGACAGGAATGTACAAATGAACACAAACCTCAGTGACCAGGATGCAGGGCCTCAAGGCTACATTTTGGGAAACACTGGTCTAGTCCTTGTTCCTTCTTACAACTATTGTTCTAGTGATGAGGCCTTTTCGCAAGTGTACTGATTACACAATGACAAAATCTTCTCTCTAGCCCTTTTCTAAGGAAATCAACAAAATACGGGGAAGACAACTGACAGGACAGAGAGAGTAGCAGATGCTTGAGCTGAGTGTAAAGAGGAAGAAGGTGTGAGTTAAGTAGATAGGGCAGGGCAGTCTTCAAATAGGGATAGAGGATTCAGAGACAGAGGGGTCTGAGACCACAGCAGTTTAGCATAATAGGAGAGCAGAGGGCATGTGAGGAAGTAATGAGAAATTAGACTAGAGTAATCACAGGCAGTAGCATATTTATTATTCATTTATAGAACCTTATAAAATAGCAAAAACTACCATTTTTTGAGCCCTTATTTTCCAGTGAGCACTATGACAGGCAATTCACATATATTAGGCATAATTTAGTGCCATGCTTTTCCAAACTAGTTGATCTCAAGACCAAACACACTCTTAAACTAAATACTCTTAAAAATTATGGACAGCTTTTATTTATGTAGGCTGTGTTTATTGCCATTTATAGTATTAGATCTTCAAACTGAGAAAGAGTAATTCATTTAAAATATTGATCAGCTTGTTATAAAAAATACTTTTAATGAACTATAACTGTACTCTCCAAAACAAAACAAAAATTAGAGGGGGGCCTCCCTGGTGGTGCAAGGGGTTAAGCACAGCACTATGAAGCTGTTCCCAGCCATTGCATCACTAGATCGATCTCTGGCCAGCCAGGGAGCAAGCCACATGGTGCAGCAGACCTTTCCTGACACACCCACTGCTCCCCTCAGCAGTGTATTTCAGTCAATCTGCCTATTCTGTTCCCCTCTGGTGAATCCTCTCACCCCCTGCATCTCTGGCCTGTATCCCAGTTCTTGTATGCATAAATAAATAAATCTTTTTTAAAAATATGGAGGGATGAGTAATGCTGCTTTACATTTTTGCAAATATCATTAATCCTGGTTTAAAAGGAGACAGCTGGGGTCTCATACATGCTTCACATTGGCCACTTGCTTTATCACATGTCATGTTGTTTCTGGAAAACCCCACAACATACTCATAAGAGAATGAAAGTGAAAAAGGCAATTAGTGTCTTATGAAATATTATTAGAGTTTCCACACCACTTAAATGGGTCTGCAGGGTCCCCCAAGGTTCCCAGACCACTGTCTAGGAGTTGCTGACTGAGAGGTTGTATATAGGTATCTTAAGACCCATTTATATGTTGGTGCCCCCATATCAGCAAGCAATTTTCTGACATGAGCAGGGTGTTGGAGAATTGAACTAAACTTAGCTAAAAATTATGACACTGTTTATGCAGAGATTAACAGGGTCAGAGGCTTCAGATTCCACAGATAAAGGGCTCAGTCTCCTGAGACCACCCTCCACTTCCAATGCTAGTTATGAGCTCCAGGAATTACCTGTACTTCTGATCAGCGGGCAATTTGGATGTTCCCATGAAGCCCTCCTCCGACTTTAGGTGACAATGTCACAAGTCCAGGTTATTACCTAAACTTCCAAACATAGATTAAGGGTTTCCAGGACATTCTCTGAGGTTCAATTAATTTGCTAGAGCAGTCCACAGAAATGGGTTTAGGAAACCCATTTACCCACTAGATCACCAATTTATTACAAAAGGATGTAATTCAAGAACAGCTAGAAGGAACACATGCTTAAGACAAGGTATGGGGGGAAGGCATGTACCTTTCATGCCCCCTTTAGGTGTGTCACTGTCCCTAAATTTCTATGTGTTTGCCAATCTGGAAGCTCCCTGAAGCCCTTCCTTTTGGGTTATTATTGGGCTTTATAATTTAGGCAAGATTAAATCACAGCCACTGGCAATGGAATTCAATCTTTAACCCCATTCCCAGAGGTCTGGATGTGGACCTGGAAATTCCAACCTCCTAATCACTTGGTTAGTTTACCTAGAAAACAATCCCCATCCTAAGTGCTGCCCCAAATCACCTTATTAACATAATAAGGGATGCCTTCAGCACTCTCAAAGTTTCAGAAATTCCAAGGCTTTGAGGAGTTGTGAGCCAGGAACTAGGAATGAAGACCCAATATAGATGACAAATATTTACTGGTCATCTGAATGACCAAAATCACTATATCCTCGAGGTGAAGAGCATTTGAATCCTGGCTTGATCACGTATGAGATTGTGAGTGTGATCAAGTTACCTTGCCCAGGCCTCAATTTCCTCTTAGATTAAGTAGGGATTGCCTGGGTATCATTTAATAAGATTAAAATCTAAAGTGCCCACTCTGCCTGGCAGGCAAATTTGGGAGGGTTGAATAGATAAGGAAATTAATAGGTTGTCATGGGAACCAGGCCATCCATGACAAGAAAAACCAGCCCAGCCCTGGGAAAGCAGAAGGAAGGGCAGGACACATTCTGTGTCAAAGGCCAGTGCCTGAGACCAGATGTCCAGCAGATAACTGGTGTAAACTGGTGCAAACTGGCACCCCAAGTAAGAAAGCCCCTGAAACCAGAGTATAAGGGAGCCTCAAATCTGTCTTCCTGTGCAAACTTCTCCTGTCTGGTCCCCTGGGTATTTCATTCCGGAGACACACGGTGGGGGGGGGGGGGCAGAGGGATTGGGGTCAAAATAAGGGGGTTGCAATTATATGGGGAATATAAAAAAATTTTTTTTTAAATTAAAAAAAACTAAATAAAAGAAAACGACAACAACAAAAAAATCTGCCTTTCCTGTTGTCTACTCTGTCTCTGGTAAATACTTTTACTGCCAAACCTCCAGCCTCATCCTGACACTACACTGCCCCAGGGCTGTTGAGGGAGTTGCGGACTAGTGATTAGCAGAGCCAGTGCTCAGTGAGTGGTGGCAGCCTGTGACCCTCACAACCACCCAGGAGTTAAGTCCAGTGAAAGACTGAAGAAATGGACACTGGAATAGCAGCACCAGGGTTCTCACGGCTGACTTGTGAGTGCTGTGATATAAATTCACTGAGCTGAGGTGTTTTGAGCAGAGCAGGGTAATAAAACGATTAGTGACATGACCCCAGCTTAGAAAAATCACTCTGGCTGCCACTTAGAGGAGGCTGGATGGGAAGAAGTGAGAACTGGCTGGTCTCCGTTCAGTAGCCTGAGTGGGGGGCAGAGGATGATAAAGTTAGAACAGGGAGACACTTGTGGTCAGAGGACTTCTGTTTTACTCTAAGTGGGATTAAAATTCAAAAAAGTGTTTGAGGAGAGGAATGACATGATTTGGCTTATTTTATTTATTACTTTTAAAGATTTATTTTATTTTATGCATATAAGAGCTGGGGCACAAGCCAGAGGTGTGGGGGGTGGGGGTGAGAGGATTCACCAGAGAAAGAGCAGGGAACAGAACAGGCAGACTGACAGAAGTACACTGCTGAGAGGAGCAGTGGGCGAGTCAGGAGAGGTCTGCTGCATCATGTGGCTTGCTCCCTGGCCAACTGGGGGATCGCATTCGTGTTGCAGAGGCTGTGGATTGCTCCATGTGTTGCTTCTTAACCCCTTGTGCCACCAGGGAGGCCCGATTTGACTTATTTTAAAGGGTCACAATGTATGAAAGTCATTATGCTGTACATCTCCAGCTCACACAACGCTGTATGTCAGTTGTAGCTTAATAAAACTGGAGAACATGCTTAACTGGCTACAATTTTATGTATATTTTGGCACAATAGAAAATTAAAACCTTAGTCTAATCTGATCATTTAGATTGTCTGCTGTGGTGGTGCTCACTCACTTCTGGAGAGATGATGAACCTCTCAGATTTTTAAAGGCTCCCCTCCCCCTCACAGAGAATGTGCTTGCATATTTGGGAAAGTGAGGGGGTGGGGAAAACGCTAGAGGTGATGGCTCATGGGACCTTGCTGCAGAGGAAGAAGAGTGGGTGTGATTTTCTTGACCTCCTCCAATTCCTTGTGTCCCTGTGTGCCACCTGCCTCTGCTCCCCACCTTGTGTCATAGCCCTGGGCTGAGGAGGAACCAGACATCGTGACACTTTAAAAATTTCATTAATGCCAGTTGGGAAGCAGTGTGGTGTCTTAACTGGCACAGAGGACCCGTGAGTCATATGCGCTTCCACCCTCCCCCTGGCCTCATCTTGTTCTCCTGACATCTCTGAGGTCTTGCCTCTCAGTCCACATCCGCAGCTAAGCTGAACCCCACAACCTCTTCCCTCATCACTTGGGACCCTCTTATTTGGCTAACAAACTGGGCTTCCCAGGGGGCCAGAAAATTCTCAAGCAAGAAGACTGGGTATTTCTAGTCTCTGGACCACTCCTGGCTCAGTAAATATTTTTCAGAGAATTAATGACAGCAGTTGTTGGCTGCTCCCTGTCTGCAAACTCTCTGAGGTGTCACAGGAGGAAGGCCCCTGTCTTTCCATTTCAAACACAGCACTAAAGCAAATATACATAATTCAATGAAGAAACATAGTTGTTACCAACATGCCACTTGGAAAGTCCTAGAACAATCCTGAAATTAGAAAGTGGTGTCCCACCTTTGTGGTGAGTAAATGCTGGTCAACAGATTGTGAGGGTCATCACCTGGGGGAATGCATGTGAATATAAAACTATTCCCAGGACATTAACCAAATTTGAAAATTGCTACTTAAATTGATATATATATATCTTTTCCAGTGTTGCATCTGTTTAATTTTTGACATTAAAGAAGTGAGGCTACATTTAGCTCATTAAAAAATTCTACCAATGATATCACGGAGAACCAGAGTCCTTGCAAAGCAGTGAGTCATAATTCACCTTGGAACCAAAACAATTGAATAAATTCGACTCCAAAAAAGCCGGGGAGAGGGATTCAAAGCCTGTTTACTTACTGAAAATTCCTCTGAAGCTCAGACGTGAATGATTCTGATGAATGTAAGGTCCAAGTAGGTGCTGGTTTTTCTGTTTGCAGGTCCTTCCCCTACTCCAGCGGCTGCACTCTAAGAACTTAATTCACTTTAGGTCCCTGTGCTCACTCTCATTCAGTGGGGGCGAATGGAGGTCAGTAGAGACAGAGGTTGGGGGAGCTTTTCTCACCCTGCTGAGGGTTCTCTGGCAGAGGCATAGGTCTCTCCACTCCCTCAGCAACTCTTGGCCTGTCCTTCCTGCCTCTGAGCTTGAGCTGCTCTGCGCATGACCATTCAAGCACATTCCAGCTGCTGCTAATCTGGCCTAAACCTCCTCAGAGCCTCACAAGTAGCCCTTGCACTAAATCTCTTGAAGCATCAGAGATGGATTCTGCTTCCCGCAGGGAGTCTTCCTTCAAAGTTCACCAAGAGAATCCTTGAGCAGAGTCAACCAGGACAGTGATGTCCTGATTTGCTGGTCACTAGTGAGCATCAGTTAATGTTATTGCTGGCATTTGCTGGGAGGACTAGAGTAGGTAAATGAAGTTGATTGGGCTTTCATGCCCAATCAATTAGCCTCTGTGGCTATCACCTGTGGCCTTGATCTCGTTAACATAAGGCTCGTGGGTGTGGGGTACAAGTGCCTGGTTATGGACACCTGAGCATGGATGTGTACCTATTAGCAAGTGTGTACACTGCCTAGGAGGGAGTGGCTGAAATGGTGGCGTCACCCTTGGGGAGGGGGCTCAAGTCCCTGCCGGCTTGCGTCCCCTGCTTACCACTTAAGCCTGTGAAATTTATGCTGTAGGTTTTCTGATCCCATGCAGACCGGGTAAAGGAGGAGTCAGAGTCCTCAGTGGTTTTTGCAGGTCTTTTATTGGATTTACCTGGTACACGACAAGCAGGGGTGCTGTGGGGCTGGGAGGCTGGAGGGCTGGGAGGCTGGCGGGCCCGGAGGCTGGCAGGCCTCCCAGCCCCCAGCAAGTCTTCACTCTATCTGGGCCCTCCAGTGTTTCTCTCTCTCTCTCCCTCCTCTCTCTCTCTCCTTCTGCTGCTGCTGGTTTCTCTCTCGGCTTCTGCTGCTACTGGCATCCCCGTGACACCGCCCTTAAAAGTCCAGTTTCTCAGCCCAGGTGTACCCACTCCAGGTGCCCGCCATCAGGCATGCATTCAGGACCACAGGGTTCCTTCATCTATCCTAATGGTGGAGGGCAGAAAAGCCTGATACCTTTTACCTATCCTACATATGCCAAAGTTTCCAAAATGCTCTTTCAAATCACTAGAACTGACGGTGAACCTACCCGGCCTGGGATGGTTGCAAAACAACTAGAAAATAATATTACTAACTTTGTAAACTAGTGGCCTGGAACTTGTACCTCCAAACGTTATTATCTCCTCGAAGTTGAAATCTTAAGGTAACCATAATACCTATTCCAATAAAGACCAACATGTTAAAACATTCTGGGTTTGCCTTTTAAGTTTTCCTTTAGTGTTCACAACTCATTTCAAATAATAGAGAAAATGGTCCTCCCTTGATGGCAGATTTGATTTAGATCAACAGGAAAAATCACAATGCAGATCCAAAAATTAGCAATAATTTTATCATACTTACATGCAAATATCCCTAGTTGTTCTCACAATAGATTTTATAGTTTATCTTTTAAGTCAGCAATCAAGTCAAGGTTCATGAACTGCATCTGATTTTAATTTTATTTTAATGTTTTTAAGGATGCAGAAAAGTGACTTTAACTCCGTAACTCAGATCTAGCATGGTGTCTAACACTATGAGCAGATCAAATGGAATGTAGTGGAACATTAGTCAAGGCCAAGAGTGTTCCTTCCATTGCAAAGGACACAACTTAGGAATGGCAGGAGATGTCAGTCATCTAAGAGGGCCATTAAATCAGTGCGAGTAGTCAGCATTTTTCTTTTTTGTGTTAGAACACACACAAAATGCTATCTCCATAGCATGCTGGAGTAAGCAAAGGGGACTCCTTGGGGGCTCTCTGGGGTTCCAGCTGCCTCAGGCCCCCCATCCTAAGTAAGGGCTGGGGACCTACGTTTGTAGTATACCTGGGAAATGTTGGGATCAAAAGAAATTTTGTGGTTTCTAAGTTTCTTTGTGTCCCAGGATATTCTTATTTCCTGCTCTTCACTTTGGGTAACCTGGTGTGTTTCTTCCTCCCAAGACTCTAGAGTCTTGCTCTGTCCCCATTGAGCAGCCACTTAGACCCATTCACCTGGAAAAACAAAGACAAAGGAGGCTTTTCCATGTTATTTATTCACAATAACTAGCTACATGAGGGGGGTAGACAAATTAGTAAGAGTTGAGGGAGGTAAAGGGATATGTGTGGAAGGATGAGATCTAAACAGAAAACAATATTATAAATGGTTAGATGAAAGATTTACAAATATTCATAAAAAATAGTATCCTCTGAGGGAAACAGAGGAAGATAAAGTCATCATGAATAAAATAAATTAACAAGTTCTTATCATTGCATTCCCCAAAACCAAAGTCTCCAAAAATGGTCTGCATTTTAGAATGTTATGATTTGCAGGTACTTAATGATACACATCTCCAACAGAGAAAAATAAAGACTAACACTGAGTAACAGATTGATGAGATACAGAGGAAAACTGAGCACATGAAAATAGCTATCATCTGGTAGCAAAAATAGATTTATGCCAATGTGAATATCAAAATTAAAGACATTCAAATAAATTATGCCAATACACTGGAATTATTATTCCTAAGATATAAGAACAACTTATTGCTCTTACTCATAACTAAAAGGTCTAAGGAAATTCTGTGACAACTCGAAGGCATAATATAGCTTGTAGTATATGTATTAGGGCTACATCAAGGTTCATCAGCCACATAAAGACTTACATTTTACACTTTTTTTTAGGGTTGACATTGTCAGAGTGAAACAGGGCCACTAATCATAAATCTGATAAACACAGATGATGGACTGTGCTCCAAGCTCAAGCAAGTGATTTATTGGAAAATGATTAAAAGTAGAATATGAGAAAAGCAGCAACCAAAATGAAGTAAACATTTAAAAAAATGGTTTGTATATTTTTCTCTCCAACAGTCTCACAGGAAGTACACAAAGACGAGGGGCTATTTAGATATTCTGGGGACTTGATAGATAACTGGACTATTGTCTTGAAGTGAACTCTGTTTAATTAGTATCAGAAACAGCCTCATTTCCAAGAGATGAACTGTATGGAGAAGCTTTCCTGAGACTTTGATTATTACATTTAACTCAGGAAAATACCAGCCCCAGCTTTGGGGCTTGGGGAGCAAAGTGATCTTTTATGGGTTTTACTGGACTCACAACTTCCGAAGCAGCTCTCCTGCAGCTTGGGGTCATTAGTAGCACAACAGGAACATATGAAGTACAATGGGGTTGACTATACAAAGTCCCAAATATCTGTGTAATTGACCATAAATTTAGGATGGAGTAATCAGTAATAAAATGGCAGTTAAACCTGTATATCCAATGATGCAATGACAAGCATTATTTAATCAGGAGGTTTAAAGTCCAGAAAATTAAGTTCTGCCTCAATTCTCCTAAACAATGCCATGTTTCTGTTTTTTTTTCATCTTAAAAATACAAAACATCCTGAACAACAACTTTGGTGGAAGTTGCTTTCGAGAACAGAAATAGAAGGGGGGGAAAGCCATTACCCCTCAAGGTAATTTTGAGATTATAATATCAGGATGCATCATCAAGCTGTATACATTTCAGAAAAGCCCTTTTATAGATGCTGGTACTGACTAGTAGATTTTTAAATTTGCATGCAGTTCAATATCATATTCTAATTCATTCTCGTCCCCATCTTAAATCAGATGACTAAAAAGGTGATATTTGGTTCACTTAGCCTTGTGATTCCAAAACAAAGCATCAGATAGACTGAAATGACAGTATTAGGACAATTAACTGCCAGATGTTGCACAACAAAGCTACATTCATTCAGGCTGCATATTTTGTTCTGTTGCTTTTTTTGAATTTTTGAGCCAGGCTATGGAGCAAGAGGATTTAAGAGTCAGTAGTACTAAAGTCCTATATTTACCTTCACATTGTGAAAACTAGATTTGTTTTCCCCTGGAGAATCCTTAAATCTATTGCCTGATTCCTCCTGTCTGTGAGCAGAATTTGGATACATGCTTGAAAAGAAAAAAACAAAGCACATACCAAAGAATTTGATTACGTATTTAACTGCTTAGAAGTGGAAATGATAGTCACATTGTCTACATTGTGATATCCTCATAAAATGGAATAAGTAATGTAATATTTAATAAGTCATTTATTGTTATAAAATGCTAGTTGCCTGCATATTCCAAAAGGCTACTGATCCACTTTAAATTACTCTCTGCTTTGAAAATGCAATACTGTCCAACTGATATTTCATGTGATACTGAAAAATCAAGCACTCTTTTTTTTCCTGTTACTTATTCTACTTTTCATTCATACTATTCTACATGCTCTGAAACTATTTAAATATCTGAAATGTTTTCTTGAGAAATATTTTTATCTTATCTTTATACTTGATGTTCCATACAATTTGTTACGGACATTAGAGTAATAGGCTCAAAAATTAGGCTTTGGTTTCAATGTAATCTGGGCAGAACATGGAATTGCTTTCATAATACAATTCAACTACTGCACAAATTCTATTATTGTAATTTGAAACAACTTGTTTAAAAAGACAAAGTTTCCCCTTTAGATAGTTATAATCTATGTCATTTAAGACTGCTGCAAAACTCCCAAAAGGGTGTTACGAGTGAGAAGAAAATGCAGGAAAGGGATAAGACACTTAAAGATTTGTCAGAACACAACACAAAGGAAGAGCATCAATTCTCTACATGTGTCTATAAGGCAGATGGTCGAACTTTTATAGAAGATCTAAAATACGGTGCTTATTAAGAGGTAGAAAATACCAAAAACAGTATTTAAGAAACACACGTGGAACTATTTAAAACAATCAGTTATTTTGCTAAACATTTAGAAAGTCAAATGGCTATGTGGAAAGTACTGTACGTTTCACACTAAACTGGGAGAGCCCACACTCAGAGATGTGGTCCAACAAGGCAGGAAGCAGGGTTGGGGTGGAAAGTGCAAAATAGTCTAACTTGATAAGGATGTAGTTCTTACTAGTAGGAGAAATCTCCTACTAACTCCCTAATCACTTAATTAATGGTAATTTCTGGGATTAACGATTTCTCTGAGTACAGGGTATACTTTTGCACATAAGGCAATACAGCTATAGGGAGGATGAGTTCAAATGCTTTCTCTTCAAGAAGGTGCCATATCCATTTTATATAAAAACACATTTCACTCATTTCATATCATCCCCCCAACCACAAAAAATACAAATGCAAATATTCTTTAGACTCCAGCACCAGCAGAATTGTTCTATGTGAGCAATTCAAGAGCTGTCTGAGGCAAAAAGATATCTTAGCTACCAAATTAAACTTGGGTAGCTTACACATGGGTAGGTGACCCTGGGTATTCTTATTTCTTAATGCATCTCTTTTCCTCCAACATAATTTTATAAGGCATAAATTTAATTTGAATTTTCCTATCCTTTGGAAAATTAGTGTTAAAGCTTCTTTTTTTAACCCACACATTAACATTCAACTTTCATTTTTATTAAATAGTTTAATATATAAAAAGAAACATCAAGATGTTCTACATTCATATAAACAAGTGTGATAACAACTTAAATTGTAAAGAAATCTACTGAAGACTATAGTTAAATACTGACAACATTCAGCTAAGCACAATTTATCATTCTAAAGACTCTCTTTTAAATGTATAGACAAGTTTGTGACTTCAGAAAGCAAATGCAGAAATACAAGGACGGATCATTCTTTCCTTTTCACCACAAGACAGGATGGTCCAGTTTAGAAAAACCAAGATCTTTCCTAAGTTCCAAATAAGTCCCATTGCTCACCCAAGAGTCATCAGTGGATTTCCTGTGAAAGATGAAAGAACTTGTTGAAGGCTTTTGAAAATATTCCCCCACCCTCTTTCTCTCCTGCCCTCCTCCATCTCTCCCCCAGTCTATCATTCTCCATGCACGCAATGTTCCTGACAGGCCAGTAGTGGCACTAAAGAGACTGGAAGCCTGACAGCCATTTAATTACTTCTAGTTTTGTGCCCTCACATGTAGAGGCTGTGACAAAGGGTGAGAGAAGAGTCTGTCTTACATAAAACAAACTCTGGGCTGGACTGTTAGTGTATGACTATGCAAATGCTACAAATCAACCATGGTGTTCATATAAAGTGACAACTTTTTAAAAATAGGAGTTAAAAGCCCTAACAATCTGAAAAGAATAGCCTTGGTTCACTGTGCTTTAAATAATGAATATATTACATAGATTAAAATTCAAGAGGTACAGAAGGGCTGATAGTGGGTAGAGCTACTCCCTACTTCTCTCTCCTAGCCTCTCAGTTCTTTTTTTAAATGCCTACAAGAACTGGGGTACAGGCCAGAGGAGGGTGGGGTGAGAGGATTCACCACAGAGTGGGGAGCAGAACAAGCAGATCAACTGAAATACACTGTTGAGGGGTGCAGTGGGTGAGACAGGAGAGGTCTACTGTGCCTTGTGGGTAGCTCCCTGGCCAGGGATCAAACTCGTGCTGCAGTGGCTGTGGATAGCTTCATCCTGCTGAGACTTAACCCCTTGCGCCAACAGGGATTAGCCTCTCAGTTCTTTATCAGCTTCATTCTTTCAGAGAATATCCATGCATGTGTGAGTGTACACACACACACACACACACACACACACACACATACACACTCACACACACTCCATCCCTCCAATTCTTTACACAGTGGTAGTTTTACATAGTGTTCTATCCCTGAGCTTTTGACACAATACTAATAATACATATACACACGTATACATATATAGAGGGGATCACTTCCCATTAGCACAATAAGGTCAGCAAACTATAGCTCAAGGGCCAAATCCAACCTTCTGTCAATCTTCATAATCCTATTTTATTGGACAAAACCCCGCCTGTTCATTTGAGTACTTTTATGTAGCTGCTTTCATGTTGCACCGGGAATTGAGTAATCACCACTGAGGCCTTATGGCTGATAATGTTAATAATATTTACCATTGCCCTTTACTGATATCCCTTTGTATGGACCACAGTGTATCTAACAGTCACCTACTAGTAGACATACAGGAGGCTGTTTTCAGTCTCTAGCTGTTATGAACCAAGCATATGTTATTTTGTATGTGCATGAGTATAGTATCATTTAAAAATCCCTGTAAATTGAACTACTGAGTTGAAGAGTATGTGTATTTATACTTTGGACTCACACTATTGTAGGTTTTAGAAACAAAAGTAGAGAGCTTGTTTTTCCACACTCTCAGGAACACAGATTTGGATCATATTTGTTTCTCTTTTTCTGATACAGGGATGTATCTAAAATGAGCTAATTTGCATGCCAGATACTTTACTATGAAACAAACAGGTCTGATTCTGCCCAAGCTGTAGTTTTCAGTTGGAATTCCTGGTGATGTTTTCCTTATTCCTTGGTGAGTTTTAATGAAAATATCCAAGAGGCCACATTCCTCTCTGTTTTCTCTTCGCCAGGACCCCTACAGCTGAACAACTGTCATCTTCTCTTCACTTTTTTATTTACCACATTCAATACTTTGATAATTTTACAATTAAAAAAAAAAAAGCTGGGTTTCCCCAGCTGCAGGTGCCTTCAGCCCTTCCTATTCCCGTCATAATTCTTAATGATTGTAGTGACAGCCTAGATGACATTGTATATTTTGCATTTAAATTTTAATTCATTTCCCATAGAGCTCTACCGACTTTTTGACATCACTTTTGATGCTTTCAAGTGTAGATTTTTTTTTTTTGCAGGAACTTTTTAATTTTTTTAAAGTTTTTTTTTTTAAAGATTTATTTATTTTTATACAAAAGCTGGGGTACAGGCCAGAGGGAGGTGTGGGAGGGTGAGAGGATTCACCAGAGATAGAGCGGGGAGCAGAACAGGCAGAATGCCGATATACACTGCTGACGGGAGCAGCGGGCGAGACAGGAGAGGTCTGCCATGCCATGTGGGAATGTCCCTGGCAGGCTGGGATCGAACCCACACTGCAGGGGCTGCGGACATCTTCACAGCGCGGTGCTGAACCCGCTGTGCCACCAGGGAGGCCCTCAAATGTAGATTTTTATAAGTATAGATTTTCCTTGTTTAAAAATAAACCAGATGATTTATGGAAAAAAAAAAAAACAACCTACTTAAGATTATATTTTGTATCTATGAATTGATCAGTAAATCAACTGATTAATCTGTTAATCTATCCATTTATCTATCCCTGTCCTTCAGCAAAAAGTAATTTAAGATGTCTGTTATTTAAAATGCTCAAAAAAACATGAATATTTCAGGATGAAGTTCTGGCCACTTGCTCTTCAAAGGTTTACATCTTGAGTTTGTAAAAATGGTCAGCAGGGATCCGGCAAAATCCACATCAACTCTAGGGGAAAGCGCATTATAACTGGGGGATAAACTATAACTTGTTGCTATTTTGGAATTTATCTTTTATTGCTAGATTAGTAGCTAAATCTTCTTAAAAGTGTTTCTGTTGCTCATTAAAAAACAATGATAATCAAAAACCACCCCTATAAGAAAAAAAACCAGTGGCCACTCTGAAAGCATGCTGGGTTGGACAGGCCAGGCCAGGAGCTTGCCGTTTTCTTACCTGTGCCTGTTTTAATGTTGATTTTTTAAAAATGCACAAACAAAAACTGAAACTGTATGGAGCTCTGGCCTGAGGTCAAGAGAGTGAAGGGTGGCCATGAGCATTCCACTGGGTCCTTCCGAAGATCACCTATGTTTTCTGGGCCTGAAGTTGTTTTCAATTAAAATAAAAGGAGAGGTGAAGGTTGATGAGCTCTGATGCCACTTCTAAATCTTTGTTTATTTTTAGTGATACATTCTTAGCAAGTTATTTTGAAAATAATAGTAGATGTTTCTGATCCAAGCCCAGGTAACACACATTGTGGGGTGTGGTTTTTTTTTTTTTCAAAACCAGCCGCTCCTTCAACAAAAAATTATGACTCACTGAAAGCTCAGGTGAAGGTTAATATTTTCATCAATAAAGTATTTTTTGACTAGATCAGGCATGTTCAGGGTGGTAGGCCATAGAGAATAAAGTATTTTTCAATAAAGGTATGTGCATTTTTTAATACATAATGCAATTGCATAGTTAGTAGACTATAGTATAGCTTAAAAATAAATGCACTGGGAAATAAAAAAAAATTCACATGACTAGCTTTATGTTGATACTTTATTGTGCTGGTTTGCAACCAAACCTGCCCTATTTCTAAATATTAGAACTTCTGCAATTCAAGAATTAGACTACTTGGACGTCCATTTTGGTAACCAGTGGGCTGATTGTTACTTTTTTCCTGTCATTTTATATAAAACATACCTGTGTGGCCAAGGTAAGCACCCTTTGCCATGGAATTATTAAGCTGGTCTGGTACTAGGAGCCTGGTTCATGAGGTCCCCCTTGCTTCTCCCGCAAGCACTGACTGAACACCTCCTTAATTTACCAGCGAGGTGCAGAGAGGCAGCTGACAAAGAGTAAAAGATGCAAGAAAGAAGACAACTCGCCTGCTCAAGACAGCAGGTGGGGCAGCCTGGAGGAATGTGTCATACAAAGCACAGAGAGCTTTCACCACTCTGAAGCTGGAAAGATAATGAGAATACTCTCGTTTGGGGAGGGGACACCTCGGTTCACTCTCTTTACCCCAGAAGCCAAGGTACCCAGTGACCAAAGACACACACAATCCATGCCATTCACAGACCTGAAAAACCGTGGCTTGTGTTCCACATTATTTTCTTCTAAGATCCGCCGCCTTTCTCTCTGTAGCTCTTCAATCCTCTGTTTCTGTATTTCAGCTTCTTCTAAGTTCCCTTCTTCTAGAAACCTGAAGTATCAAGGGAAAGTAAAGGAATATAAATTCCAAGAAATTATAACAATCATTGCTACAAGACTTGCACATGTTCAAGACTGGATATTTAAAATGCTTTTCTATACATTGTCTTTCCTCCAACCCTTAAAACAATATTTTGACCTAGTCAGGAAAATTATTATTTTTTGAATTGGTTATATTTATATGGTTCAAAAAAGTTTAACTTCAAGAAGGAATCTGGAGTAAAGTTTTTCTCTCATCCCTATGTCTAATTCCCCGTTCCTCCCAGCCAGCCCACCCTTACTCTCCCGCCACAGGTAACTCCTATTACTAGTTTCTTGTCTAGTCTTCCAGAGATTCGTTATACAATTTTTTTTAAGATTTATTTATTTATGCATACAAGAGCTGGGGTACAGGCCAGAGATGCGGAGGGTGAGAGGATTCACCAGAGACAGAGTGGGGAACAGAACAGGCAGACTGAGTGAAATACACTGCTGAGGGGAGCAGTGGGTGAGTCAGGAGAGGTCTGCTGCGCCATGTGGGTTGCTCCTGGCCGGCCAGGGATCGAACTTGTGCTGCAGAGGCTGCGGATTGCTTCATAGTGCAGAGCTAAACTCCTTGCTCCACCACGGAGGCCCCGTTATACAATTTTTTTATTTAAGAATTCATTATATAAAGAATATTAATATATATTCTTACCCTCCCTCCCTTTTAAAAACATAAGTGGTAGCATGTTACACAAAGTAGCTACAAGTTGGTTTTGTTTTCTTTTACCTTTTACTTAATAATATATCTTGGAGATCTTTCTTGGTAGTAAACATTCATCTTCAAGTTTTAATAGCTGCATAATATTCAATTGTGTAGATAAACCTTAATTTATTTAAACAATTCTCTATTGACAGACATTTGGGCTGTTCCCCAATTTTTAATGTTATAATCAATTCTGTGACAAATGATTGTGTATATTTATTATGTTGCATATAGGCAAGCAGAAGAAGTTTCTAGAAGTAGAATTGTAGGGCTAAGCTAAAGGGTGGATTTATATTACCAAACTTCCCTTTGTGGTGACTATAGACATTTTCATTCCCTTCAGCAATGTTATATGAGTGCCTCCATAGCTTCAGAGTGTATCAAACTTTTGAATCTTTGCCAATCAAGGTTAAGAAATAGCAAGTCAAGGTGGTTTTAAAAATTTGCATTTCTTTCATGAGTGAGGATGAGCATCTTTTCATTCAAGAGACACATACATTTCTATTTTGTAAACTGTTTGTTTTCCTATGTCATTTTTTTTTCCCAAATGGGTTGATCTATTACTTGGTTTTTAGAACCAATTCATAAAATGAGTCACAAATATAGATGTCTTGGCTTGTCAGTAATCTTTTGACTTTAGGCATACATTTTATTTACCTTGCTATGAAGAGGATTTTTAAAAAATAAAATCAAATGCCTTTTTTTTTTCCGTCTGGGTTTTGAGTCTGAATTAGAAAGGCCTTAAGAGAGAAATTATTTTTTCCATTGTACAGAGTAGGAAATGAATTTAAGAACTATCATATGTCACACAGCAGCAAACCCAGGATCAGAAGTTTTACTTTACTGCATGAAAGTTAGTTATTATTTATCTTTTCCACAACCCCCCTATGCTCCCTGAACCTCTTCTCCATTCTCCCCCCTCCCTCTTAACCTCAGAAGCCTCACTTCCTTTATTAGTATCCGCTCGTTTTGATAAGTATTTTGCTTTGTTGAATCATCTGTTTTATAAATACCCAGTATTTTTCTTTGACATTCTGATTTGTTTTACTACATATAATTCATTTGAACTCTTCTATTTTGCTGTGATGGCAGCATTTCATCTTTCCTTATAGCTCAATAATATTCCATTATTAAGATTAATATCCATTAAGAAGATACACCACATCTTCTTAATCCAGTTCTCTATCTGTGGGCAGTTAGGTTGTTTCCATAGCCTAGCAATTGTAAATAATGCTTTATTGTAAAGGATATAATTTTCTGAGTTGGTGGTTTCATGTTCTTTGAATAGATGCTCAAGAGCGAGACTGCTGGGTCACACAGTATTTCCATTTTTAGTTTTTGAAGATAAATCCAGATCATTTTCCAAACAGTGGAAAGTGATCCCACCAACAGTGTCAGGAAGGGAAGGGGAGTCTTCTTTTTCTGCATCCTCTCCAGCACTTTTTGTTGGGGATCTTTTTTAAAATGTCATTCTCACGTTTATTAAATGAGATTGCATTGTGGTTTTAACCTTCAATGTCCATGATTAAAAGTGATGATAAACATTTTTCCATGTTTATCCATTTTTCCATTTTTCCATGTCCATGTTGGACTTCTGGATATCCTCTTTGGTAAACTGTTCAGAACTACTGCCCATTAACTAACTGGGTTGTCTGGAGTTTTTTTGTTGTTGTTGCTAAATAGAATAAATTTTTGTATGTTTTGGTTATTAACCCCTTATTGGTTGTGTAATGTATAAATATTTTCTCCCATTAAGTAGATATCTTTTCAATCTACTACTATTTTCTTTTGGTATGCAAAAACTTTTAATTTGAGGCAATCTAAGCTGTTTACTTTTGCTTTATTTTTCTTTCAAGTGGGGTGTTGAGTCTCTAAAAACATCTTTATCACTGATGTCATGATATTTATCACCCATATTTTCTTCACCAAGATAATTTCAATTTGAGGGGTGGAGGAATTGGATGCTTTTTACTCTTTCAAAACCTTGATGTATACATTACTGTATACAGTAAGGCTATTAAAAAATAAATGCTTTGGGCCTCCCCTGGTGGCGCAGCAGTTGAGCGCTGGGTTGCGAAGCTGCCCGCAGCCTCTGCAGCGCCGGTTCGATCCCCGGCCGCCAGGCGAGGGTCCCACATGGCGCGCAGACCTCTCCTGCAGCCCGCTGCTCCCCTCAGCCGTGTACTTCATCAGTCTGCCTATTCTGCTCCCTGCTCTGGCTCTGGTGAATTCTCTCACCCTCCCATGCTTCCGACTGTACCCAGTGCTTGTATAAATAAATAAAATAAATCTTAAAAAAAAAATGCTTTTTGGGGGGTATTGCAAGTGAAACAGGGCTCTACTCATGAACAAGCTCATTCCACACAGAGATCTGTGCTGGGCTCTGTCTTCTCCATGACATGATTCCCAAACCCCTGAAACTTCTCTACTCTTAGTGACATTATCTCACTAAGTTCCACTATTTACCTGGGATTTATTAATAAGATTTTTATGAGAGTTTTATATCTTTGGAGAGAAAGATCTTAAAACAATCCTCACCTTTGGTCTGGCCGAAATCGAGTGTCAGTAGGTGGTAATAAAGATTTTGACAGCGGATCCATTTCATTTAGTTCAAGTGCAAACTGTGTGAAGCCATAATATTGTTCACAGCCTTTTGGCATGGGGTCTGAAAGAAAAATCATTCATCACTTACATGTCATTTATGTTGCATTTTTAACTCTTTTACCACTCTCATTTCAATTCTTTCACCTCTCTCATTTCAGAATAGCCTGCAATTTTTCTCTATCAGTTCTAAACATTTCCATTTCTATTAAAATATTTGGCTAACAAATAGATGCTGAATATATGACTCTGTGAATTTTCTCCTTAATAAATTTTCTTCTACCTACAAGGATAAGGCCTTCCTTGTATACAGGAAATTTATACAATGTTGTGTAGTTGCTATATTGTTTAAGCTAGAAAATTAATCTATTACACAAATAAACATGTTTTTAAAAATTCTGGGTCCATTTTTCCTGGCTAAAAATATTCTCACTTTGGAGAATTCATTTTTCATTTAAGAGCTGGATGCTCCTGAAACTGTGTTGTGCCCAGAATAGTGTTGAACCCAAAGCATGTGAACAATTAATGTTATTCTCTTTGCTCTTTCATCAACTCTTGCCCCTGCCTCCCCCCAAGTTTAACCTATTTAAATTTAAAACAAGCATAGCAAAAGCTAGGACAGATGTGGAGTGTATCAGCAGAAATATGTCAGCTGGAATTTTAAAGGGGATGGATAGTAGGGGGCAGAATAAAGAAAAGACTGTGGGACTATTGGTGTTTTACAGGGTGAGGCCACACAAGTTATCCAGCAACAAACAAGTGCCATATCCTTCAAGAAAAGGGAAGGAAGCCTGAAGGTGATTCTGAGATCATCAGGCTGCCACTCCCATCGCAGGCCCAGACTACACAGGCCCGGAGGACAGGACTACCTCCACCTCTCACAGGGTGGTGCCGCTTCTCTGGTTTCAACTTGCCAGGCTGTCACCACTCAGAGCCTTGGGGCTGTGGGGTCAGGGTCACTGCCCCAGTGGGTTCAGAAGGCAGGGCATTGAGTGAAAGGATTATCTGCTGGCTTAAGAGGTCATGGCATTTGCCTTGCTAACTTTGGGACTTGTTTGGGAGCTGTCACCCCTTCTTTTTTCTCCCTTTTAAAATGGGAATATATATCCTATCTCTACCCCATAATCATTTTTTGGAAGCACATTTTGGTTTTATAGGCTCATAGCTGGAGAGATGAATCACACTTTGAGTTTTACCCATACCTGATTTAGATGGTATTTAGATGCAACTTTCGACTTTGCAGATGATGCTGGGATGAGTTAAGACTTGTGGGGATGTTGAGGTGGTGTGAATGTATTCTTCATGTGAAAAGGACATGATCTGGGTGTGTGGGGGATCCGGTGCAGAAGGTTAGGGACTAAATGTTTGTGTCCTCCCAAAATTGACAAGCTGCAGTCTTACCCCCAGTATGGTTATATTTGGAGATGGGCGAGTCCTCAGAGAAAGGACTTAGGTGAAACGAGATCGGAAGGGTTGGCCGCTGTCTGCAAGCCGGGAAGTGGGCCCTCACAGGAACCTGAATTTGCCAGCATCTTGATCTTTCATTTCCTAGCCTCCAGAACTGCAGCAAAATTAATTTCTGTTGCTTACAGCCATCCAGGCTGTGGTATTTTGTTTTAGCAACCATGGAAGACTAATGCAAGTGTATTGCCCAGACTTGAATTCCAGCTAAAAACCAAGCTAAAAATACTCAACTTTGCATATTGGCTGGATCAAATGCAGACTAACAAAATCCACTCATAGTCTTAACTCTAGGGGTTCAGATACATACATACAAATACTTTCCATGAACTTTTCTGCACACCCATTGGATGAAACTTCAGAAGTCCACTTTGTCTAACTCTACTTCTAATTACCTAAAATTAGAAGCATGAAAACAGTAGCAAAGCTTTCTATTATGTCTTAAAAATCCTCCCCAGTTTCCCAACCACCAGAGTGAAGACAGGGATTCTTGAATATGGGCCAAGGATGCTCACGGCCAAGGTGGCACCATAATGTCCATGATAACTGCAAGCAACTTCCTGTGTTCTTTCATCAGGGTATCGGTTCAACATCCAGAGAAATGGCCATTCTCCTTCATGATATGCACTCAATGTGCCTCAAGCTCTGCCGCAAGGAAGGAGACCACTGGTGCCAATTCACTCTAGCTTCATGGTGACCTCTGCATCAGGGGGATATGGCTGCTCCCCGTGGAAAGAGTCATTGCTGCTGCCTCTGTGCAGTCACCCTCTGTTCTTTCTTCCTGTTGGGAAACTGACCTGCTCAGGTGGCATGTGCCTTCCCTAGGGGGTGACCCTATGCCCATGTGAATCTCTCCTGCCCATGATTGTGGAATCCCCCAGGTACCTCTTGTTCAGTAAGTCTGTTTCCTCTGTCCTCCACTAGAATGACTTCTTCCTTCCCTCCTACTGCTATCCCAGTACAGGCACAGGAATGAAGTGTGCTGCCTAGGCGAGTTGCTCTGAGAGCAACCAGGGAGTAGTAAAAGCTTTGTTCTAGGATGAGAATCCAGAAGCCCGCAGCCCAGCCCAGATACTGCTCATAAGAATGGGGATGAGTCTGAGATAAGATATGGAGAATCAGAGAAGGCCCAGTACGTGCAACATAGCTGGAAGCTGAGAGGGGGAGAGACATGGACTGGACACTGAGCTCGGCCCGCCCTCCCCACCCCTCCCTGTTGATGAACCCCGCGTACTCGCTCTCCAGACGCAAGCAGAGGACGATGAGCCGCCGCAGTAGATGCTTTCATGCCATTTCCCGAAGAGCCGGTGCACGGCTTTCCCGCTCTTGTCAAACACCGTGCCTTCGATCTCACGGGCGTTAGTGCTCCAGTATTTTGCCTAGGAGTCAAGTGAGAGTTGTCTGTTTAGTGTTTTGGGGTCCCTTATTACAGATATTTAGGGGAAAGAAAAAGGAAAGCAAAAAAGAACCACGAGTGATTCTATAGGGAGAAGAGTTGGCCAGTTCTGAGTGCTGAGTTTTCCTTTTTGTAATCAGAATTTTTTAATTACTTAATAAAAATTGATTGTTAACCTTCTATTTATAGTTTGTAACCCAACAACTTTGTGGAAGACATTCTCCCCCACTTTTGCTATATGCAATGTAGGAGGGAAAGGCTCAGGTCTCACACTTGGGCCATTTAGTGTGGTTGCCCGTAAGCCCATCCTCTGGACCAGCTTTTCCCCAGCTGTCACTGTGGCTTTGACTATTGCAATTTAAAAGAAATGTAACTCAGATCATTTTTTCCCCTTTAAGGAACTAGAGTCCTTTGTAAAGCAACCAAGGAAGTTGTTTTGTAAACCGATCAACTTTCAGTGTCTTTTTTTTTTTTTTTTGACTGGCTGATTTAGTTATTTTACGTTTTACTAATTTTATTTTTCACATCATTGTTCATTTTTAAACAATATTTGCTCCCCCCCCACCCCCTCAGGTGTAGTCCCCATAGAGTTTCCTTCCCCAATGCACCTGTGCACCATCACCTCAGTCCCCTGTGCTCCTCCCTCCCTCCCTCTGATCCCTCTCCCTTCTCCTCCCCTGCAGGATGTCTCTGATTTATAATTGTCTGTTTTTGCTTTTGTGTTTTGTACTGTTATTATTTTTTTACACTGATGTCTTATTCGGTTCCCCTGTAGTCCAACCACTATGGAAGGCTGTCTGGAGGTTCCTCGGTCAATTTTCAGTGTCTTTTATATATTTTCTTCACAAACCAGATCTGCTCATTTAACCCACAGGAACCTTATGCAGCCCATGCTCACACCACAGAAGGGCCTGCTCTGAGGCCCCTCATTCCCTGAGCCTTGTGGGTTTTATACAATACTACGCTTCAGCCAGCAGAGGGCACGCCAATCCCCTAGAGTTAACTTGATTCAAATCTCCCAATTACCTGGTTGCCCTAAAAAAATCTCTGTGAAAGAACAGAAGGCATTACCCTATAAATCAAAAAGTCTAGTACTATTTTCAGTGGGAAAAGAATGCATATATGGAAACCAATAAAGATGAGTGGCATTTTCAGGCCATATTCTGGTGGTTTAATGTCCCTATTCCAAGTCTGTGGTAAAAATGAGAGGAAGGGTAGAGTGCACCTCAGGGCTGAGCAAGAAATTTAACACTGAGTCAGCTAGTCGTGCACAAAATGGGAAAAGGAAAAGCACTGCCGAGGCTCTTAACTTTATTCTGAAGCAGAAGTCTGGTTTTCTCTTTGCCAACAAATCCAGCGTGGTAACATGATAGGCAGCCAGAGGGAAGGCCGTGCTCCACAGACAACAGCTGTGTCTGCTTTCAGATTCTCTCTCTACCCTGGAGGCACGTCCCGACTTCTACCTCTTTTTTCATGTCATAGCTCCAAAGATCTATACTCTGGCTTTAACTGGGTGAGGATGGTGGGTGTTAGAAATGGGAGTTGAGCACAATTCATTGAGACCTACGTAGCTCTCCCCTGGATCAGGGTAGGTATTTCCCTGCTCCAGGCTGCCATCTGCTGCTCTTTGTATAGAGCTTAGACAAAGCTTTCAAGGTAAGGTCATTTTTATTTTACCCGAATCACTACTAGCATTATGTCTGCCTATAGCCTCGCTTGGCTGACAGAATAGAATGAAGACCTCAGTCCACATCTTCATGAGTGTCCCCCCACCCCAGCTATAACCGGAGAGACACATGCATGCCTCATCTCTCAGCTTACAATTTTGTTCTTCATTAAATGCAAATATTCCTCGAGGAGGGTAACGCTTGAAGCCCATTTTAAGCACATGAGGTTTTTCAGGGCAAGAGGGAATGGAATCTAAGAAGGAAGAGAAGAGCTCAAACCAAAAAGGTGAGAAGCTAGCCCACGCTTTTTACATCAGTTCAGTGTGTTCACGTGTCCTGTGATGCTTGTGAGGTTCTCTGTGCTGGTGCCACTTCCAGGGATGAGGCCACAGCAGCGAGTGGATCAGACCAGGTCTTTACTTTCCTGGAGTCAGAGGTGGCCAGGAGAGTGTGGTCTTCAGAAAATGAGCATATCAGCCAGTAGCAAGCAGGCTAATCACAGATGGGAATAAAAACCCTGAAGGAAATGGGCCATGACAGAAAGTGGCCTACAGGAAGAGACTGGTGAGAGGGAGATGGAAAGAGAGGGGCCAAGCAGAACAAAAAGTAAAAGGAGGGAGAGGACGGGCTTGGGAAAGGAAGGAGGCCAGTGCGGTGAGAGTGGGCAGCGAGGAAGGAAGGAAACAAGCAAGACTGGAAGAATGGAGAGAGACAGACTGAGGGATGGGGGTGTGGACTTCAGACTGTGAAGGACTTTCTGGGTTGTTGGGAAGCTGTAGGCTTTACCTCTGGGGAAGATGGAAGTTGTTGGAATATTTTTGTCAAATATGGTTTATTTATTTATTTATTTATTTATTTATACAAGAACCGGGGTACAGGCCAGATGTGTGGGAGGATTCACCAGAGACAGAGTGGGGAGCAGAACAGGCAGACTGACTGAAATACACTGCTGAGAGGAGCAGCGGGCGAGACAGGAGAGGTCTGCTGTGCCATGTGGGTTTCTCGCCGGCCGTCCAGGATTGAACCCGTGCTGTAGAGCCTGTGGACAGCTTCACAGTGCAGCGCTCAACCACCTGCACCACCAGGGAGGCCCTATTTTTGTCAAATATGGGATGACTTTTTAAATTGTGGTAAATACACATAGTTTTTTACTACTTTAAATATAGTTTTTTTTGTTTTTTTTTTTACTACTTTTACTACTACTTTCATGTGGATGATTCACTGGCATCAAGCACAGGCACCATGTGTGCAGCCATCATTTCATATACTTCCAAAACTTTCTCATCTCCCCAAAATGAAATTCTTTACCCATTAAACAATTAGTCCCCATCCCCCTCCCCAGCCCCTTGCAGCCACCACTCTACTTTCTGTCACCATGAATTTGCCTACTCTGGGTACCTCATATAATGCAGTCACATAATATTAGTCCTTTTGTGTCTGCTTATTTCACTTAGCATGATGTCGCCAAGGTTCATCTGTGTTACAACATAATGGTTTCTGCTTTAAAAGGGTTCCTCAGCTGCTGCCCTGAGGAAAGACCATGGGGAGTGAAGGTAGGAGGGGCGCAGGAGGGGCCATGGCCCTAGTCAGGAGAGTGGGGCTGTCTACTCGCCCTAAGGCACAAAATTCCTCCAGACACCCTTTGCCCAGAGGCCCCAGCTCTGCCTTTCCAGGGTCAGTGCACAGGGTCACCAGTTACCTTGATAAAATTCACTTTGCAGTGGCAGGAATCATCACTCAGGTTCTTGATGACAATCTCTCCGTAGTGCTCAATCCACCTCTGTCCGCTTAAGATGTTATGGATGCAAGAGGTCACTTTGTTCCACTCAAAATGATCTCCAAAACTGAAAAGCAGGAAAAAGCAAAGTAGTGACTCTCAAAAGATCCAGGAACACAAGCACGTGAGCACGGCCTTTTTAGAGTTATAAAATGAGTTTATTAAGCAATGTTTTTAGGAGGGTAACAGTATTTGCTCTGTCACAGAAGAGATTTTTTTCTCCATGTCGTTTAATAAAGGTAAGTTAGAACCTATAGAGCTACAGAGTTTGAAGTTTCTTCCAATAGGAACTTTTTGATAGTATAGCCCAGAGAAGTCATTTCTGAATGCTAAAATACATTTTAAAAAGTCTGTTCTATGTTCTCCCCAAAATGAGGGGTAATCACAGAAGGCAGCATAAACAGCTATGGTTTCGTTTCGTTCTGTAGCATCAGAGCCACTGTTTTACCCTCACAGGCAACCATACCCACTTTAACAAGTTCTATTGCCTCTCTGAATTCAACTTCTTCCAATACAAAGTCCACACGTTGCTGCAGAAGCTGTACATTTTTATTTTTTTTTAAGATTTATTTATTTATGTATATAAGCACTGGGTACAGCCAGAAGCGCGGGAGGGTGAGAGAATTCACCAGTCAGAGGTCAGAGTGGAGAGCAGAGCAGGCACACTGATGAAGTACACTGCTGAGGGGAGCAGCAGGAGGCAGGAGAGGTTTGTAGAGCCATATGGCGCTGTCAGAGGTCAGAGTGGAGAGCAGAGCAGGCACACTGATGAAGTACACTGCTGAGGGGAGCAGCAGGAGGCAGGAGAGGTTTGTAGAGCCATATGGCGCTGCAGAGGCTGTGGGCAGCTTCGCAACCCAGCCCTCAACTGCTGCTCCACTGGGGAGGCCCTGCACATTTTTAAAGGGCCCCTGCGCTTGATGCACTTCCTCACCCTCTGAGCCAATGTTGAATTTAGTCTTATCGAACAAGTTGAACTTGAAGGGTAAGGTGAGGGGTGATGTGCTGAGATTGTCAGAGCTCATTGAGGCTCTTCTGAAGACTGTTTCCCAAAGTGGTATTTCTGTAGGACTGATACACCATGACTTAGGGAGAAGAAAATGTTTTTCTTATTCAGACTTGCACTCATGCCTGCAAAAAGGTACTTCTCTCCACAGTTTCCAGAAGCCCCTGGTGGCCAGAAGTCTGGCAGGAGGTGCCTGCTTCCCCTCCACGAGCACTGCTATTTTAAACCTAAGTCATGTGTGCAACACATTACTCCCTTCTCCACTTACAGAGTTGACTGAGTGTGTAAGCCCTGCTGGGTCTTCCATAAGCTTTCCCCTTCCAGGAGCCAGGCCACCACAAAGGGCGAGAGCGGTCAGACTGTATTTTGGAAGCTGTTGGAGGCTTCACTAGAAGCTGGGATCTCCTGGAGCACCACACTCCTCCTTTGACAGAGGAGAAAACTGAGAGCCAGGTGACTTGTCTGAGTCACCAAACTAAGAAAGGGAAGTGGCAATGGGGAAGGTATGGGTTTACTTTCACAATTTGCTCTCCTGTGCACATGAATCCTTGTGTACACACACGTCTGTATACATACATGTGCACATATACATCATATATCTTATTGTAAATATTAGGATTCATATATCTTAAGTCTTTTATAATGAGAATGTATTCTGGAATTATAGAATTAAATAATAACTTTATAGTCATAAGATCAAACACATGGTACAATACCATGTGCCATGTACTATTTTAAGTTTTTACATATTATATCTGCTTAACATTTACAACAGCACTATGAACTAGGTTTATTATCCCTGTTTTATAGATGAGAGAACTGGTGATTAGAAAGCTTATGTAATCCGCTCAAAAATTTGCAATTAGTAAGTGGTAGAGTAAGCACACGGGTCCTGACAGCCCAGTTCCAGAGGCCACTCTCATAAATGCTTTGCTTTATAAATAAGTATTGATACTCCTTGAAAGATCTTTCTTTAAAAGGAGCTTTGACAGTGAGGAAAGGCAATGCTCAAGTAAAACTATCATTCTTAACTTTGTTAGGAACTGAAAATGAGGTTTAAAAAAGCTTCTATTCAGGGAACTTTGGTGTCCAGGAAGCATTTTCATTTGAGCAAAAGAAAATGTGAGGTTGTCAAAATGAGGGACATTTAACCCACTGTCAAACAGATTAAAAGAAAAAAATGTATATTCACAGCCACATGGGAGTGAGCAGCCTGTTCCTAGATTCTGCCTTGGCCCTAAATTCTACAAAATTACACCAGAGAAGAGACACTTACGCTGGCAGAGTCACGTGGGTTGTGCCAATGGGAACAATTTCCATGGATTTGCCCCAGAACTTGTTTTTCCATCTCACATCTGAAATGAAATAGCAAACATTACATATTTAGCAGGAGAGCTAGGTAGATCAAAGAGTTTGTAGGCTGTAGGAATGATCAATCACTACATAGAACAATTTCTTAATAGTAAAATTCATTATTGTATAGGATAATGTTTCATTTAATGCAAGTACAAATTGAGTACCTGGAAGTGAATCTTGGAAACTATAATTATAAAGTCATAATTATATAAAATTTTAAAGTAAAATAAATCCTCTCTCTTGGGGAAGCTCACAGTATGAAAAGCAGACAGAAGTGAAAACAAGTAATGCCACACAAGGAGGCATGGGTGACAACCAGCTATGTTACAGGGTGAAGTGAAACCAGGGAAGGTATGAATGTTTGAGGATGGCAATAGAATCAGAGGCAGCTTGTTGCTCTGAAGAATTAGGAGTTCCCCAAGTGGAGAAAGGCAATTTAAAGCAGAACACATAGTTTGTTTAAGGGGCACAAGTATAAGAGAACATGGTGTGGTCTGTCCTTTAGGTATCAGACTGTCCAGAGAGAAGAGAAGAAAGACAGATTGAGTACAAAAATCAGTATACAGTGAGCTCTCCAAGTCTGGCTAAGAAGTCTGGCTTGAGTGCACTGGGGGGGGAAATAAGATGTTTGTTTAGACAGAGAACTGATGTGATTAGAGATAGACCTTGCAGAGATGATTGGGCACAAGATGGAGAACAGTACAGGAGCAGGAAAAATGAGAAGCAATGCAACAAATGGTCAAATGCTTTGACCAGCAATGAACCAACTGTAGCTGGTCAAAAGAGAAATAAGCATAAATGAATCAAGATAGCAGTAGAGGGATTATGTGGAAGAGAATGGTCCCAGAGGCACTAAAGAAGTAAAAACAGAACTAGATGAAAATGTAGACAGGATTGTGAAGGACAGGGAGAATTTGTGCGTGGTTTCAGATTTTTCCAATTTGCATGAATGGTGGTACCAACACACAAGATAGGGGATAGAAAAAGGATGGAGATGACCCCTCTGGCTGCTGCAGAGACAATACACAGACCACAGGAGTAAAGGTAAAAGCAAGGAGCCCAGTAAGGACCATGGCTCTGCTCCAGGAGAGAGGTAGAGCCAGGACTGGGGAGACCCTGGCCATATCCCGTATAATTCCATTTATATGAAACATCCAGAATGGGCAAATCTACAGGAAGAGAAAGTAGATTAATAGTTGCCTAAGGATAGAAGAGGTTAAGGGAAATTGTAGGGAGAGGGAAGAGAGAATAGCTAAAGGAGTTTCCTTTGGGGTGATAAAAATGTTTTAAAATTGATTGTAATGATGATTGCTCAACTTAGCGACTACATTAAACCATGGAATTACCTTTTAATTAGGTGACATGTATGGTACATAAATTACATATCGATCATGTTTCTAACAAAAAAGATAATTGGCTACTTTCAGAAAAAAATAGTAACAATATACTTAGCTTAGGGTTTATAACATATAAGGTAAAATGTATGCTCCCCAAAGCATAAAGATTGGGAGAAAGAAATGGAAGTGTACTTTTGTAAGTTTCTCACCAAAAAACAAAAAGTGCCACAATATTACTTGAAGATAGACAGTAATACCTTAAAGATATATAATATAAATCCTAAAGTAACAATTAATGAATGAAACAAAGAAGTACAGCCAATGAAGCCAAGAAGTAGGTGAAACGGAATCATAGGAACTACCTTCCAAAAGAAGGCAGAAAAAGCGGAAAAGGAGAACAACAAACAGAAAACAAGTAACAAGAGACCAGATTTAAATACTACATCAACAATCACAATAAATGTAAATGATGTAAACAATCTAATTAAAAGGCAGAGAAATGTCAGGTTGGATTTAAAAAGCAAGATTTGGGAGTCATGAGTCTATGGGAATAGGTGAGATTGCCCAGAAAAAGGCTGATGAAGAAAAAGCAAAGAGAGCTAAGGAGAAATTTCTGAGCAAAGTAAGGGACATGTAGGAACTATTTTGAGAAAACCCTTCCCATAATACATAATTTAAAAAATGTAATAAATAAAAAATGTAATAAAATGTCATTACAGGGTTAATGACACTTAGCAATTAAAAAGTTAGAAACTTTATGAGAATTATTTCCAGAAGGTTTCAGTGAAAATTAAAGATATTTCTAATTAAGCCATAATTTTAAATTTTAGTTGGAATGATTCAGAAAGAAAATGACAGTAGTTGTAAATTTAAATTAGTAATATTGATGGCTTTCAAAAGAGGAACTGGGTAAGAGAAGGAGATTTTTTTATGATATATTCTTTCATGTCTTTCAAATTTTGCATGTGTGTTTTTTAAAGACAATATAGTAAATCAGGTGATATCACTGTTAGAGAAAATTTAAAAGTGACATGTGCTAACTATTTGAAATCTTAAGATGCTCAAATTTTCATTTTATTGTGCACTTAGCTTTTGAATAAAATAAGTTAGCAAAGTTAATCAATTTAGGAAATATTTATAGCCTTATTTAGTTCTTCAGAACAATGCATCTCTTGCCAAATTCAATGAATTTAGGAACAACAAACTGAAAAAAAGTCACAAGACAAAATGTGATTTCAGAAATGAAATTCAAGTTTTGTTTTTTTTCCAAAAGAAACTTCCCCTTTGCTGTCCAGATTCTGATAAATAACTTTAAATATTTGGTGATTCTTGGAAATACAGGAGACATTCCAAGTGGCTGTGGAATAAAATAGAGAAAAGGTTACAGGATAAAATGGTGTTCCATATGAAGAATGAGGTTTTTTTTTTTTAAAGGGGAACAATTAAATTATCTTCCTGAATTCTTCATTATGCAGTAGAAATATACCAGTTATTGTTCAGGGATGAAAGGCAAGAGCAGCAAATGGTGCAGATTCTTCCAACAAGGCCCAAGTGCAGGGCCAGCTTTTGATTTTAATAAGCATTTAAAATAGTTCATTTATAAAATAAATCTATAACATTATTAAAAATGATGGGCACCAAATATATTAGCACATTACCTTGCCAGAACACAAAATTTCCAGACTCAGCATGACATGCAGAGATAGGTGGGTGGTGGCTGACCTGATGGAAACAAAGGCCAAAAATACAAAAAGCTAATTAACTTTTCTGTCTCAAGAAATCCATCCCTTCTACCTTGCAAGAGATACAGACATAATGCAATGTCTAATTGAAAGAAATTGTCTTTAACGTCCTTCAACAAGTCTTTCCTCTAGAGGGCGCTCCTGACACAGCCAGCTCGGATATGTTCAAGCTTATCAGGGGTGAGAAGAAATTGGGTGCATGGAAGCCTCTGGAAGCCTGGGGGATTTGGCCAAGTGGGGAGTTATGAGGATACAGTCTCTTTTGACAGATGTGAAAATACAACAGGGCTGTCTACTTATAAACCAGACAATCTGACACAATCTGACACAGGCTACCAGAATGTCAAACTTTATTAGCAGTTCTGACAGTACCTGCCAATGTTTTAATTAGGATGTCAAACAGAAAATATTTTTAAATGCTACTCTTTGGTTCAGCAGATTTGACTCTTCTGAAAACTCTGTGTCATACAGTCCAGCTCTTCAAATCACCTATAGGAAGGCCAATCTGAGCTAATTTTTAAAAAGAGTGATGTTTCTATTAAAAAGAACTAGCAAACAATTATTGAAGAAATATTAGTGAACTGAAAAAAAAATCATTTTTTTTTTCAGGATAAAAATATCTTGAGTAAACATACAAACTGTTTTCTAGAAAAGTGATCTCCGGTAACAGGGGGCTTTCTTTTGCCTTTGGACACTGGGTTTTATTCACTAATGAGGAAGCTAAAAAGAAAATGGCTCCTTAGATTTCCTCATTATCTCAGTGAGCAGTATGTTTTGTTATTATAATTCAGTAGTAGTGAAACCAGAGTAATGCTGGTGGCGGTGCTTCCAGAAATTTCTCTGACTTAGCTGGTTCCTAGCAAAGGTAACTTATATTTAGAGCACCTAGCCCAAAACTTACGTATTACAAATGAGGAGAATGAAACCAGAAAGATTAAGTAACATTTACCAAACACACTGAAAGTGAAGATTTAGAGGTAACTTTTGGTTTACATCAATGGTTTTCAAAGTTCAGAAATTTGTTTGAGGCAGCTGCACCCTGTTTTCAGATATATATTACCAAGAACTCAATATAGAGCACTGCATGAGGTGAACAAGCATGTTGGGAGGGGAGCAGTGGGAGACAAATCCTCAGCCACTTGTCTTGCCTGGACCCTCTGCCTTAGTGGGGAACATGTATTGAAAACAGCCTGTGTGTGTCTCCTCTAGACTCATGCTACATACACATTTAACCCATGGGGTTTCAACTGTACCACCCTGGTAGTAGAGACAAAGATTTAAATAGTGAGAGTAGCTCTCAGCTCTCAAAGAGCATAAACCCCAATCCATTATGAGGTGTGAAAGGTAAATTTGCATCCCTTGGGTGTGTGCCTCTTAAGGATATAGCCTCTCCCAGTGTCTAAGGGATTTTTCAAGGGAAATTTGCACCTCAAGCACTGATTTAGAAACTGAACTTTTAAAAATGCAATTCTGCTTTCTTTTTAAAATCCAACCCCTTGAAGATGGTTTATATCACAAAATGCTGCATTTTCTACACATCCACTTAAACTCCACCAGCTCACAATGAGAACCCAGGAGTTGACTTTCAAACCTTTGGGTCATATACCACTAAGCCAAATCAAGAGGGTATCACCTGCCCCACCCTGCCAGTCCCACAGAAGACTGGGGAGGGAAGCTCTGGGGTGGCCCATCCCCACAATGTTGGTATATTTTAAAGTGGATTATTGGAAATTAGATCTTGTCCATCTGCAACCAAACAAAGTAGGAATCATAGGTTTGAATTAATTTAGCATTTTTTAGAGGCGTGGCCAACTGTAAACGTCAAAGCAAAATATGGTATTATAGAACTACAAACCTCTTCTGTAATAATTTTAAGTTCCATAAACAGGATAAATACGCTGCCCATATGATCACAAGAGAAGCCCTATTATGCCATAAAATATATCTCCTATAAAAATGCTGCTTTGACTTTTTAAGACTATTGTGTCAGATTAATGAATCATTGCTTAGCAGAGTGCCTTAGATGGACTCAAAGGATGTTTTGTGAACGAATAAATCTCAACACTCAAATATTAATGATTTTGCTTTTTTTCTGACTTAAAGAGGCTTTTGGGAATGATTCATTTGGTCCATGTTGCTTTTAAATTTATAAAGCTTCCCAGGGAAATTATATTGATGCCTTATAAATAAAAGTTGATGACTGGTTTTCCTTACAATGTTGTTTTCCTTTCACGAAACATTTCTAAAGGTGCTAATGTGTTTTTAAAGTGTCACAGAATAATGGAGAGCTTTTGGAATCCCACACATCTAGGCCCTTACCTTGCAATGTCAACTACTGGCTTTATGATCTTGAGCAAGTTGTTTTTTAATAGGATAATATGCACAGAGAGAGAGAGAGAAGAGATGAAGGAATAATAGTTTCCCAATAAAAAAAAATCACCCTGAGTTACCATCCCCTTATGGGTAAATATCCAGCCAAACAGGGTTGGCCCGAAGCCGCTGAGGCCCAAAAGCTTGCCACAGGTCTAAGGTACCTTCAGTGGGGAACCATGGGAATGGGGTAGCGGGGGCCAGGTAAGTCTGGGATGAAAGGCACAAATTCAAAGTACAAATCAAGATAATGGTCACCCTTGGCAGCCTCTGCAAGGTCTCTCACCCATGTCTGTCTACCCATGTCTCTCCTCCACTTGATTCCTCCAAATCTCCCAAATCCCTGGTGCAAATCTAAAGCCAAGAAGCAAGTGAGCCTTTCTTCTCCATGTGTTTCCCCCTTTAGCAAGTCTTTAAACCCTCTGGACTTCTGTTATTTCATCTTTGGAGTAAGATTAAGACCACTAATTTGCAAACTAAAACAAAGATGATACATGTACAGTGAGAGGAATCATATGCTAGCATGGAGTAGGCCAGGGCTAAAGTTTAGCTTTTTTCATGAGTGGTATTTCTGCCCAGTTCTCATGGTAACCATGTGTCTTCATAGTCCTTATTTTATATATTAGGTAATGGTTTCTATCCCGCAAAGAACCTGTTCAATGCTACAAAGTTAATTAGTGACGGCAGTATTTAAACACAAGGTTTTCTGATTTTGAATCCTATACTCTTTTCTACATTTCCCTGCAGCCTCTCTGTGGCTACTCTAGAATTGGGTTCTTCTCCCTCCCTAAAGCTTGATTCATCATTAAGGTCCCATCTGCTGGATATTTAGAGAAGGAATCTTTGAGTTTGGCTTTTCTACCTCTCTGGTTCTGATTTATTTCTTTGTAAAATGAGGTCGAAGATCCGTCTGGCTTTGAAATGCTCTCATTCTAACATCTGTTCTAGAAGTCTTTAAATCTCAGCATCAGAGGTGGCAGTGGACATCAGCTTACTAGAAACAATTATTCTAAGGCTTTGATGAATTCCAATGCCTGTGGAAAGGGGTAATTCATGTTAATCATATAATATAAGTTGATGCCATCTCTTTAAAATCTACCAGAATTTTTAATAAAAAGCACAATCTTAGAGGGTAGCGAGCAGATAGGGGTCCTGTTCAAAGCAATCACTCTGGTTCCTGAGTGAGGAACTGGCTATGGAAATGAGGTGGATTAAGGCATCTTTGTCAGTGTGGGATTTGGCTAAGATTCTCATTGTGCTACATCCTACCCCAAACAGAAAAAAGACATTTTGAGTTTCAGCTTGACCTGACCCCTTTTTTATATTTTGTAAGTTTTTGTTTGGATTTAGAAAACAGTCCTTTGATGTATCACTTGTGCAGCGGTCCAGAAACATCACCTTATAGTCCCCCTAGTTCCTGATTTGCCTCCAACCTTGTCAGGCAGCTTGTGAAAAAGAAACGGGTACCAAGTGAAAAATCACTCAGGGAGGGGCCCACATGGCCATTCTTGCCATGGCATTTATTAAACAATTACTGATTGCCTATGATGTGTCCTAATCACTGGGTATGCAGTAAGAAACAAAAGAAACGAAACTCTTTACCCTCATGGAGCTTATATTTTAGTGTTGAAGTGGGTGACACAGACAACGGACAAGTATGTAATTCAGCAGCAGTAACACATATTAAGGAAAATAAAGCAAGGAGTGAGGACGAGGGAATGGTGAGTTGTAGTGTTATTCCAGACAGGACAGGAGGGGCTTGACTCTATAATGGAAACTTCTGAGTTTGAGAGAAATAAGCCAGCTTAACCATGCAGGTATCTGGGCCACATATATCCCAGGCAGATAATACAGTCATTTCCCAGGGCTGGCAAATGCTCAGTATGTTTTAGGAGAAATAAAATCAGTAGTTTCTTGGAGGGCCTTGTGCACCATGACCAGGATTTAGGATTTTATTTCAAGTCCCATGAGGCATCTTAGAGGGTAGAGAGCAGATAGGGGTCCTGTTCAAAGCAATCACTCTGGTTCCTGGGTGAAGAATTAGCTATGGAAATGGGATGGGTTAAGGAGTCTGTTGCAAAAATCCCAGTCAATGATTTTGTGGCTTGGGTTTGGTGGCCAGCAGCAATCAGGGAGATAGTGAAAACAGAGAGCTTTGGAAGGAAGGTTTCTGAAGGCAGATCCCAAAATTTGCTGATGGACAGGATGTAGAGAGAAAGAACTATTCAGGAGGATGCCAAGGATACTGGCCTGATTTTGGGGAGAAGACAACTGTAAATTAACTTCTTTCCCCCATGTTCTGACTTATACTGATTTGATAAATACATGGCTTCTTGCAAAAAAAAATTACAACTAAAACACATTAAATGATGACTTAACCTAGAAATGGAGAAGCAATGGCTTCTATTGATTTAGTTGAACAGCTTGGATTTTCCCCTCTGATAATGTCTTTAAATAAGTTGCCACTCTAACCAGTAGTAAACAAGTCTGTCTACTAGCAGATAAAAGAACTATTCAGAGAGGTGACATGAGTATGCAAACAGAGAAGTGATATGATAGGTGTGGTATTTACAAGTCTGCTCAGGAATGCATGTTCAGAGTTCTCCAGAT